AAACCAATTAACTTTATCAAAGGACAATGCTGATGGAGAATGACAGCCTTTGCCAATCACCTCGGACAAGTCTCCGTTTCGAGCGTGAATCTTGGCCATGCTTTCCAACCAGGTCCTCCGTAGCTCAGGGGTGCTCGCATAGGAGTTGGCCAGGCTGTACTGGAGATCCACCAGCATTTCGGGGTCCTTCTCATGCTCCTTCATCTGAGCCGTGGCCATTAAAACAGTCCTTATACGTTTAGTCAGGTCTTTCACCTCTGCTGGGAAATTGCTGTTCTTTGGAAAAGAGAGAGCCTGAGTCATAACCTGCTTAAAATTCAGAAGTGAGGCTGTTAATTGTGGTTTGTCATCTTAGTTTGGTGCATCTTAACTATTGCTCATGAATATGTACATTCTTTATACATGCATATTTATACATGCAAATATACATGTTGTGATTGTGGTTATACACATTGGAAGATAAGAATTGATGTAGGCCCTGCTCTTTGGTTTTCTAGCCCACCTTCTTCTAGCAATAGCATCTTGATTGTCCTTTGAAATGCTCTCCTCTCTGGCTCACGTGCATATGATTTGAGTGGGTCAACCTCATTCCCAGGCACCAGGGGTGGCACATGATACTGGCCTGGCCAATCACATTATTTGATCCCCCAGGCAACATTGATTGGTTTAGGGAAGGGCATATGACACAAGGTTGGTTGAAGGAGATTCAGTACGGGACTTCAATTGGCACTATGGAATGAGGTGCTGTTTCTATTCAAGGATTACTACCAGAGAGTAAACTCATGGGAGAGCTCTCCCGTAAATGGAATAAACACAGAGGAAAGTTGAACTGAGAGGTAGGGAGACAGGCGAAAGTAGAGGCAGTAGGAGGAGGACATCTGAAAACATTATTTTGATCCCTGCGTTTAGCCATGCCCAAAGCTGGGCTTTAGACCTGGACTTTTCAATGTGCTGACTAAAGGAGAAGTCTTTGGGAAGTCCCCCTACAAAAAATGACAATAGCAACAACAACAACAATAACAACAACAAAAAGGATAAGATAAAACTGACTAAGTATGGAATTATAAGAGAACCATTGGATTTCTGGATATTTGTAGTAACTTTTCTTGTTACACACCATTCAACCATACATCTTGGAAATTCCACTTAACAGATTATATTCTGAAAGTGTAAGAGCTGATTATCAGTTTAAAGAAGCAAACAATGTAAGTGATGTCTCAATAAACAAAATACCAAATTTGTCATTTTTTTAAACTTTTTAAAATGAGTCACAAAACAATCAGTTTAGCTTATTCCTAATTATTTAAAATTCCCACAAAACATTTCTTACTTTCATTTGTTTGTCTCCATTAGCAAAATTATTGGTAATTGCAAGGGAATGTTGAAACCGAGAGCCTCCAATCCCAGCGTCAGCTATTAACTGGCTTACGGCCTTGATGAGCTGAAAGAGAGAAGAAAAATGAAACTTCAAAAGTAAGTAACCAAGAAATAGGAGTTATAAAGAAATCCATCAGATTAGTTGAATGTACCATTCATTTCTCCCTCTAGAGCCAATGAATGATATCTCTCTGTTTTAAATCTTTAAAGGCCATGCGATCCTGGGCTTTTCTTATAAACTTAAATACTTAAGGAAGGTTGTAAGAATCTAGGATGCCTTGAAGAAAGAAATGTATGCATTTAGAATCTGGTGAGATTTGGCATCCTAGAGATAGCACTGGGTTCCTGACTTGTGTATTCTGCATGACTCTATTCCCGGGCTGAAGCAAGAACAAGTCCAGGTGGAGTTATGGGTTTTGCTGGCTTCTGCCCAGCTGCCCTCTGCCCATGAATCAGAACTAAATGTGATGGGCACCTTTAAGGGCAGAGTCTGGAGGAGGAGTTGGTCACTGGTTGCCCTTCTATCACTGCTGAGACAGAGTCGTGGCATTAACAATAGCACTAATGAAAACTGGCAGCACTTACTTGTAAGTGGGATCGGACAATTGACTTCTGCTTGTTAAATTCAAAATTCTTCCTCATGAAAAAGTACAGAAGTGCTGACGCTTCTGTCTGAGTTGACCGTGACCTGTGGTTACAGCACTTTAGGACTTCATAGCAGAAGGATCCACACAGGTCGGCAGGCCCTTGGAAGAACGCTGAAGGAAACTGTGGGAATGGAAACACTGGTGAGGTCAGCCCTGTTCCTTCATCGTCTCTGTTCACTCTCATATTTTAAAATTCCTGAGAATGAATCCTTCTTTATTTTCTTTTAACTGAGTCTTTTTCTTTTATTTGCAAGTGGGAGAGGATATACTTTTGCTTGTTAAAGTCTATCTTAGTATTTCTTTTTTTTTCCTAAAAATAATCGTTTTCTATCTTTTAGGTATCCCTTGCATAAATAACTAATGATAACCCAAAAGCATAGAGCGAGAGCTTGGACATGTTTTCTACTTACCCAACATTGTAAACTGCAGGGGCCCTAAGAGGTCATAGCTGTAGCTACTTCAATGTGGACCTTTAACTTGGCATGAATGGGCGTCACAGTTCACAGTGTGCATTTTACCTAACTCTGCCACAAACACTTACTCAAAGAATTGGTGGCCAGATGTTAATTTTATTCCCTTCTGATATCCAAGCCAAAAGGCTGTCAAGGCTGTGAGCTTATTTTGAGATCTCCAATCACAGATTTAATAAGACCAAATAAATAGTCTAATAAAACCAAATAAGCCAAAATAAAAAAATCATATTTTTCTCTCCATACCAAAAGTTGTAAGGATTAATATGCAATTATGATCATCCTTTACTGAGTTTTGCTGGAAGCTGGAGCACCCTTACCTTGCATACAAACAGTCTGAGGGATGCAAACACATGCTTTAGCGCTGTGGCTGACTGGTTGACTTGGAAAAAGAGCATGTAGGTATCGAAGACTCTTTTCATTAATGAATTTTGACATTCAGATTGTTGAAGTTGTCTCTGGAGATTTAACACAGAAGTTATTTAGGATGAGGAAAAGGACATCTGTGTTCTTTCAAAAGATATTTGTTGTGAACCTATGGAATGGTTGGCACAATTCTGGGTGCGGGACATAAAATGCTGGTTAAGAGGAGAAGGTCTATGTTCCCAGTATAACTCACAGAGTAGTGACTGAAAAAAAGTACTAAATAAGGAAATAGAGTATAGTGATATATTATGATAGAAAGAAATTTCTTTGGGAGTAGGATTGTACTTTAGATAGGGTGGGTAGGTATGACCTCTTTAATGGATGAATTGACATGTGAGTTAAAGGAGTATGCTAGGGGCAGATCTAGGAGGGCCATCCAAGGAGGGAGGCTTGAATACCAAGAACTTGACTTAGAAAGGAGACTGTGAGCTCAAAGTTGAGAAAAAAGAGCAGAATGAGTGGGTGGGATAGCAAAGAGAGGTAGGAAATAAGACCACGGACAGGTAAGTCATCATAGGCACTTGTAAAGCCTGTGAGATGTATGATATTTGAGTAATATTTCCACTGAGCAATACAAAATTAAAATATGGTTATTGCTTTTTCTACCACCATGCTGAGCTTTCACCTGCAGGACTTTCTTGATGTATTCATTCTGTTTAGTGTAGACTTTATTCAGCACATTCAACTTTTCATAGTTTAAACCTCATTAGGTGCAGCTAATGTTTTTAATAGCTTTATTGAGATTTAATTAACATAAAATTTCTATAGTTAGCATTTTATGAAATTTTTAATAAATGGAATCATACAGTGTATATACTCTTTCTGTTTGGCTTCCTTCCCTGAGCATAACTAAGCTGTATTCTATTATATGGATAGAACATCATTTATTTTCTAAGCCACTTATTTGTTGATGTACATTTAAGTTGTTTCCAGTGTTTACTGGTAGTTATTAAAAAGAAAGCTTCCATGAATATTTGTGGACAAAGCTTTGTGTGGGAAAATGCTTTAAAAAAATTTCACCCAAGGAGGGACGGGGAGGGAA